ATCGGAACGCTCAAACAGAAAGAGCAATTTTCCTTACAGTGTTTGACCAATCGGTTACATACAGCTGTCTCTGTACATGAAAAAATTACCTGTAAAAATACATTTAATTGCCTATTGTGATTTAATTGAGCTTACTTTATATAACATGATCGAATCCACTATTTTCTAGTAAGCACTGGGCAGATACATTTCATTTCATCTGTAGAGAGTAAGTAAACACAGGTTATAGATAGATCTAATCATATGATGGTATACCTGTAATTAAGTTTTGAAATTACCCTTCAGAACTTTCGTTCGGTATTCTTGTAATTCCGCTCAATGGCCTCATATTTGCTTTCAGATTTATCCTGCGGTTTTCAAGGAGAGAGTGCGCAAACCGGTTTATAGCTCCCATCAACCTAACCACGACAAGCGTATCCCTTGGGCTGAGAAATCCATCCATATCATGAAGTTATCTCTGATGATGATTCTGTGATAAATAATAAAAAGTTCCCATGATATTACTAGGCGGTATAGTCTAAACTCCGCGAGGCTGAGGAATACAACCCCCTTTTCTCAACCCAATCATCCCTATTGATGGGGCTGTGTTTTTACTGTCTGGCCGAGGGAATCTAATGAAAGCATGGCCCTAGTTTACTGGCTGAATTCATAAACCGCTGATTTGAATGTAGGGGCCGCAGATCCCATCTGTCTCTCATTCTGTCTCCTGCTCTCCAGAGCCAGGTCTGAAATAATGCTATCACATATCAGACACACAGGACACCTACGGCACTCTGATAAATATTTAAAATAAATAAGGACAATTATAACATAATTTACACAATTTAAGGGATTTGACTGATCAGACTTTTAGTAGATTATCAAGACATCCCTATAACATGGCGTTTAAAAACTACTATTATGAGGTACTAGGAAACATAGATATATAATAGAATATATTGGTCAAAATATATAACACACCTATAAACTGTAAAAGTTTTACAGTAAAAAGCAGCACAGCCGAATTTCAAAAAAGCATATTCAAATATATACACAGACAGACAACTGTATGTAATATATATTTTATATGTATTTTTATAATACTTTTGAATATAAAAAAATGCTCATATAAATATTATGTAAATATATTATATAATGTGCAAGTTTTACAATAAAATATTGAATGAGAACACAAATTGACCCATCGTAGGGAGCTTGATTGACAGGCGATCTGACGTCTTTCCACGGTTGAAATAAAAGTAACTAATTACTTTCAAAAGACAGTAACTAGTAATATATAATGTATTACATTTTGGAAGTAACTTGCCCAACACTGTTAATTAACAAACAAATCATTAAATTAGTCATAACTATTTATTAATTTGATCTTCCCGTGTTTTCATCTAAAAATATGTTTGATGCACTGTTAGATAACTATGTGTAAATGTAAAATATTAAAATATGTTGTGCAAATGTTGATGGAACAAACTGATGTATGTGCAGAATTGAGAAACAGATATTTATGAAGATCAATTGATGTGTCACAAGGCAAACGTATTTCAGTTCAAAAAAGTCAATGTAATACAAACATTTTCAAGAAATAAGCAATTTGTGCATTTACATAATTGGTAAAGGAAAAAGACATTGTGTAGCTAAGTGTACACACCATCAGTTCAAGTCAACTTTCATTTCGTGAACAGTACGGATTAATTTATTTCATTCATTCACCTGGCCCAAACATAAGTTTCAAATGCCACTTGCTCAATTAAAATTTAGTATAGGAATAATAGCAATGTAGGTCTTAGTTGCATTTTAAGTGATATTATAAATCCTATAAACATATATAAAAATAAGGACAATTATAACATAATTTACACAATTTAAGGGATTTGACTGATCAGACTTTTAGTAGATTATCAAGACATCCCTATAACATGGCGTTTAAAAACTACTATTATGAGGTACTAGGAAACATAGATATATAATAGAATATATTGGTCAAAATATATAACACACCTATAAACTGTAAAAGTTTTACAGTAAAAAGCAGCACAGCCGAATTTCAAAAAAGCATATTCAAATATATACACAGACAGACAACTGTATGTAATATATATTTTATATGTATTTTTATAATACTTTTGAATATAAAAAAATGCTCATATAAATATTATGTAAATATATTATATAATGTGCAAGTTTTACAATAAAATATTGAATGAGAACACAAATTGACCCATCGTAGGGAGCTTGATTGACAGGCGATCTGACGTCTTTCCACGGTTGAAATAAAATACCTTCTAATGTTCATTCATGTTTATTTCGTGCTTTAACTAGTAAATATGAAAAGATGATCAGTTTACGTGCCGCTTGAACTGAGGCAGTACAGCGATCTGTCACAACACAATACTATGCATTTTCGGAGAGTTGATTTTGTTCTGACTGCTATTTATAAGATCGTTTGCGACTGTCAAACGAGAAGCTCAGAGATTTCTGCATTATGGACTCAATGTATGTTTATTAACTTTATTTGGTAACCTTATTTATAACTGTATCTGTACAATTTAACATAATTTAATTACAGTAGGTTTGCATTTATTAAAAGATCGGGGTTTGTATTTCCTGTGTGCTTTTATTCATATTTGTCTGTTTTGTGAAAATGAGCATCTGTTGAATAAATCATTATCTGTCTGGTGTCTATAAGCAGCGCATACAGTATATTTTTACAAATTGTTTGCATCTTTCCGTACCCACTGTATATATATATAAATACAACACATTCAAATGGGTCTATATCTCTTATACAGACATCATGTGGTCGACTAAATTCTCTGCTATAAAGTCCTTGTGGTGTGCCACATCAAATAAAGTCCTCCACTGTTTGACACCACTGAGCTCCGGTGCGTTTTGTCATCTCATCTTCAAATGCACAGTGAAAATGAGGTGCATGCCTAGTGGGGATGTTGGCATACGGCAGCGTAGTGTGAGCTCGATCCCCCGCTAGTTCACGGGCAAGTCACTTCCTTCAAGTTTCAATTAAGAAAACAAAAGAAAAGAGAACGAAATAAAGACAGAGCCATTCATCACATGGGAAAGCTCATAAAGAGCTTTAGTATGCCAACAACATATTGGCGGAAGAGACAAATGGTATCTTGTAAACACTAGGAGATTTGTTGAATGTTTGAGAAACCGTAGTATTTCAGCCTCAAATTACTGTCAAGGATAAATAATCTCTCCGTCTGCTGTAATCAGTGAGTGTTACACTCATAAAAGGTCATAAAGTTGGAGCTTGGGGGACATTGTGAGTAATGGTGCTTGTGATTTTCTTTCACTCTTTCTTCTTGACAATCCAGACGGTGCTGATAAAGGCTTTTACAATAATGACACAGGTGAAGTATGGTACTTATGAAGTTGAACCGAACTATTTTAAAACTGCTGTCAGTAAAAAGTTCCGCAAAATGTGGTTTTCAAGTAGATGTCAAGGCCTGTTCACATGGAATCAGATGCCACACAGAAGCATAATATATATCAGAGCTGGGTTATTTTGAGAATGTGGAGAACTTGAATGGCGCACAACCCTGTATCACGGTTCCCACAAAAATATTAAGCAGTAAAAACTGTTTTCAACATGGATAATTACAAGAAACATTACTAATAATTGAGCAGCAAATCAGCATATTAGAATGATTTCTGAAGGATCATGTGACACTGAAGACTGGAGTAATAGCTGCTAAAAATTCAGCTTTTATTTTGGCTGAAAAAGTTTTGGAGGAGCAAAATCATCAACCGGAAGAGTGGCATTTAGTTAGCATTTCTCTGATTGACTGTGTCAGTGTCTATTTTGTGCACATAATGTGGATGCCAGCAAAATAAACGTGAATGAACATCAGAATGTATGTTGAAATAATAGAGTACAACTTACTGAAATACATCATGTCACATGTAATTGCTCAATCAATCTTTCAAGTGCGTAAAGATGTCAGTAAAACACCTAGTAAGCAACATCACATTAATTGTCACATTTATCTCAGGAAAGCCATTCAATGTCCATAAATTCATTAGTCAGCTAGAAAAAAATAACTCCAGAGAAGAGCATTTTACTAAATATATCCACTATATTACATATTCATATTTTTACCTGTTGTCTTCATTATTTAATGTATATTTGAACAAATCTGTCACAAAAACTTTTTTTATTACAGCCACGGTTTAAATGTTTATATTTCAAAACCAAACTGGAGTAGAAACATAATTCTGAAATTAAAAAGTTCACATAAAAACTTCCTTATGTGTAACAAACACCGTTGTACGCAGTTATACAGGAAAAATCAATCAACATCAACACAACAATAAACCAGACACTAAATGCACAAAAAAACCATGGGTATTTCAAATAAAATCTAATTATTCTTTTCACCACAAAACATGTAGTTTTCTATGTAAATTAGGCTTAATATATACTGCATTTACAAAACTCTTGCGCCTGGCACTACTAACGCCACACTATTACTGCCCATGGAAAGCAGACGGTAAACCAAATTTAGAATAGCTGTTCCATTATAACCAGGAATATATCCAGACCAGTGAGGTGAGTGAGCCGAGTCAGGCACCTGGACTGCAGTAGTTGGGCAATACTGAACAGTCCCAGCAAAGTATGCCAGATCACATAGTGTGCAGCATTATCCAACAACCTTATACTCAGAACCAGCCTGAAAGATGGTCGCATTTGCACGTTTATCTCATTTGCATAAATCCTTTAGTGAACCAGGCGCTAAAACAATGCAAACAGCGCATGCAAATTAAACAGCGCTATCAACGGCGCCATTCATTCTTTGTGAATCCTCCCAGCATTGTTGTATTTTAAAATCTTGTTTTCTAAGTTCTTCATGCCAGAAATTCAGACTTGGTACGCACTAGAATTTGGCTCTGTGGATAATGCGATGACTACAAGGGACAAATTCATTTCAGCCTGATTCGTTGGGTCTCCTCTTGGAGCGGACAGCGAAATTTCCCAAACTAACCTGAATAAGCCGGCCCTGTTCGGTCTGCAAAGTGCTGAGCTCCTGTCCGATGTTGCCCTGGCCTTGTCTCAGCGCGTTGTACTCCATCTTCAGCTGACTGGCATGGGCGGACAGCTTGGCCACCTCCTCAGCCAGTTTAACAAGCAGAGCCCGGTCTTGCCCTTTCACTGATTTCAGATCAGTGTCATGGTCGGTGAGCGAGTGCAGCAATGAGGTCTGCACGCCCTCCAGACGCAGGAAGTTATTGTTGTAGTCGGGGCAGTTGGGATCAATGAAGATGTTGATGCGGGAGCCGTCGCCTCTCTCGATGGTTACCAGGGCATTACCCTCATCCTGGTTAGTGCTGATGAGTGGGGGGCCATTGGGGCCACTGGGCGCTTGGTAATGGTTCATCAGAAGGATGATCCCGGTGCCTTGTCTCAGCGCGTTGTACTCCATCTTCAGCTGACTGGCATGGGCGGACAGCTTGGCCACCTCCTCAGCCAGTTTAACAAGCAGAGCCCGGTCTTGCCCTTTCACTGATTTCAGATCAGTGTCATGGTCGGTGAGCGAGTGCAGCAATGAGGTCTGCACGCCCTCCAGACGCAGGAAGTTATTGTTGTAGTCGGGGCAGTTGGGATCAATGAAGATGTTGATGCGGGAGCCGTCGCCTCTCTCGATGGTTACCAGGGCATTACCCTCATCCTGGTTAGTGCTGATGAGTGGGGGGCCATTGGGGCCACTGGGCGCTTGGTAATGGTTCATCAGAAGGATGATCCCGGTTACTGTGACAGCCAGTAACACAGCAACAAAGAGCAGGATGGTGCAGAGGAGATAGCTACAGCTCATCCTCTGTAGAAAAACAGAGAGAGACACATTAGCATACAGAAATAAAAAACAAGTCTGAAAAGAAGCATTAAAATGACCAGCATGATATAGACGAAAATGTTTTTTTTTTTTTCATTTTAATCTTAAATACAACTTCGTAAAACTGATGCATAAGTAATACACGCCGATTAAACTTGACATACACCGATAACACAGATCCAAAAGTAGGTTCCCCAACTTACAAATTTCTAAAAATCCTTGTTGAGCATTAAACATGCATAGAGATGCTTCTTGAAAGTTTAATCTGCTATTATGTAATACCTGAAGACTCTTGAAGGCATAAATTCAGGCTTTTCACAAAGGTGTTTATAAAAGATGGAAAAGAAATTGTATTTGCTCAGTTGCCTAAGACCTAATCATCATCCCTTGCTCCAGATAATTTAAGTCAGGAGGATAGTATTCATAGCACATGAATGCAACCTCAACCAGTAGGAAACTCAGGATTTTCTCTGAGCCCGGATTTTCAGAATTGCAGATGCTTGGATAAAAATTGTGGCGAATGCAATCTGATATCGGAGGTAATTACATTTTCATTTTGAGTGCGCCATTTAGTTTACACTGAATGTATTTTGAATAGCTACCAAGTTAAAATACTACTCATTTAGCTGGTTTGAGTGGCATCTAAACTGCATTCTCTGTGCTTTTTATCACTCTAGTTCACCCACAGATAAAGCATCAATTACACATAATGTGCATAATTTGCTCTTCATTATATACTAGAGATAACATATATTGTAAATATATGAAAATGCTCACATCATCATTATGACCTCTGGGACTTTAAATCAGTATACAGTTCTGTTCATAAATTTGCATACCCTTTGCAGAATATGCAAGATGTTAGTAATTTAAAATAAGAGGGATGATAAAAAATGCATCTTATTTTTTTATTTACTACTGTCCTGAATAAGCCGTTTCACATAAATGTTTACAACTCATTAATTGAATTCACATAAACGAACCCATTCAAAAGTTCACATACCCTTGACTCTTAATACTGTTCTGGATGATCAACGACTGTTTTGATTTGTAAGGTGTTCATGAGTCCCTTGTTTGTCCTGAACTAGTCTCGCATAGCTAGACTTTCAGACTGACGGCAGAAGGTCTGGGAAACTTGGCCGCTTTGTATGGCCAAGGACCGCCCAAGAGGCCATATGACTGACAGGTAAAGCAACCAATCACATTTTGTTTTGTGCCATTTTGTGCCGTTGTGTCCCCACAACAACAGACTGGCATGTAAAACGTATTTTAAAGAGTCTATGCACGAACTTTACATATTTCATATACTTTTGAAAATCCAGCTTATAGTTTTCTTTCTTCTTCCATGAGGGGGTTTGGTGACACAGCATCTTTGTTTCCAGGCGGAACGTTAAAGAAGACAACACAAACATCTCCCGGAAATCCAGTAGAATTCAACCAATCAGATGACGACTTCGAAACTCCTGAAGCGTTTCCAATTTCGTGTGCCGTATGCATCAGACATTCAGCCAACAGTCCGTGGGCGTGACGTCTGAGGCTGAGACTAGTCCTGAAGAGTAAATCCTCCAGGTCCTGCACATTCCTTGGTTTTCTTGCATTTCTGCATATTGAACCCTTTCCAACAGTAATGCATGATTTTAAGACCCATCTTCTCACAATGAGGACAACATCCACAATTATTACAAAAGGTGAAAACTTCACTGAAGCTCAGGAAGGAAACATGACGCATTAAGAGTCAGGGGTGCAAACATTTGAACAGGTTGATGATGTGTACATTTTTCTCATTTTGTTAAAAGGTCATATTGTTGTCATTTAGTACTGGCCTTCGGAAGCTGCATAAGATGTTTACATGTTTCCCAAAAGACAAAATATGCACAATTTACCTCGATCATCCAATAAAAATAAAACAATTATAAATAAAAATAATAATATATATAATATATATATAATAAATAAATAAAAAACACTGTATATTAGGGCTATCATTTGAGAAAGAAAAAATATTAATTATAATTATTTGATATGCTGATTAATTAAATAAAATTAACCACAAAAATGTAATATTAAATAAAAATAACAGAAATATTACTTTCTTTTTTTTTTCTTTTTTTACAAATGTAGACATGTAAATCACTGAATAGACATTATAAAACATAGCTATACAAATTAATATATTGTTTATTTCCATGCTTTCCTCTTATTGTGCAATATAAATGTAGCATAAAGCCAAAAGCATTGTACATTAGGAGGAGTGGCAATAGATAATTTGTGAACACTTTACACTGATTTCTGTGACTGCCCAGGGCTCGAGCGGTGGGCTGGAATATAAACGACAAGATGAGCAGTGTTTCCTTTGAGGATCTAGCAAGGCAAATCCCCACAGGGCAAAAGACTAGAAACTACAGACATAAGCCTTACAGCTAAATATTACGGTTTGGTTAAGTGGCCAGAGTTGACAACTCTCTCATCTACGGGAGTGTGTGCCAGCGTGCGGATGTGTGTGTGTGTGTGTGTGTGTGCGTGCATTCTGCAACAAACGCAGATATAACAAAAAATGAAGTGAAGAACATTTGATGGGAAACTGGGGAATGCCACGCAGGCACTGGAGAGGGCTTGCTTATCATTTGCCATGTCTTTTTATTCAGGGGGAGCCTGCATCGCTCGCCCCGCTGTTATACAAGTGCCACTTCAGTATTCCACTTGACAGCGGGTGTCGGTCCCTTGCGTGAGCTTCGAGTACATTTTGTATATTTATTTGTCACACTTTTACATATATGCCACAGTGACTCAATGCCCATGTGCCGTAGTGGCATTTATGATTGAAATTAAATCACTAACACTCAGACTGAAGCAGCACACAGCTGCAATAAGATATTTACTGGGACCAGCAGTAAGGAATATTTCTGGTCGGGTGAATTGTTCAGGTTTCTATTTGCCAACATATTCACTGGCTCCAGCACAGAAAAGATTATAAATGTAAACATTTTATAAATAAAATATATATTTTATTTATCTACAGTTTTAATTTTAAATTTATATATATATATATATATATATGGCATTCATGGCAAAACAATAATGAAAGGTTCGTGATTTTCAAGCTATTCAAATCCATGAAAAAAAAAACTTCATCTATGTTAGCCAACTTAGTAATTTAACCTAGCTGACAAGTTTTAAATTCATTTAAAACTTTAAAAAGTGTAATTTTTTGCAACCAAATGTCACAGAAAGCTTCTTTGGATAAAAGCATCTGCCAAATGTGTAAAAGTAAATGAGGTGGTCCAACATTTCCATGTGAAGTTAAATCACCAAGTGCTGTACACTCTCATATATGCAGACACACACCACAAATGCAATAAAAAGACACATACCCTCTGAGATGTTGATTTAGCAGTCACTGCGGTGAATAACAGCCCCTGCTCTCAAGCAAAATTTCCAGTAAAACACATCTAAATTTACAATGACTGTGTCTGTCCCGAGTAATGGATATATTTTGCAGAGAATATTGTATTTCCATACTTGTGTGATAAAGTGTCTCTTTACAAGACACCTATGAACAAAAGAACAAGTGCAGCCCGGTGAAGAGAGCTCTATTCCCGCACCGAGTGCAGGCATTGTCATATTTATTTTAAAGATAATTAATGTGCACAAAAGACTCCAGCCTACTTCATCATGCAGCAGCAGATGAGAGCAGTCTCAGATCAATTTGTTACAATAAAGCAACAATACCTGCTGTCTGCGTAGTGGCATTTATGATTGAAATTAAATCACTAACACTCAGACTGAAGCAGCACACAGCTGCAATAAGATATTTACTGGGACCAGCAGTAAGGAATATTTCTGGTCGGGTGAATTGTTCAGGTTTCTATTTGCCAACATATTCACTGGCTCCAGCACAGAAAAGATTATAAATGTAAACATTTTATAAATAAAATATATATTTTATTTATCTACAGTTTTAATTTTAAATTTATATATTCAAAAGTATACATTTAAATATTTTATTTTATTTTTTATTTTTTTTGCTGGGGCCAGTGAATATATTGGCAAACAGAAATCTGAACAACTGGCCAGACCAGGTAAGCAGAAATATTTATTTACGTTTATAATTTTTAAGTTTCAAAATTAAAATATTAAATTAATTATTTTATATGCACGTTTAAATTATTAATTAATTAATAATACATATTTTAAAAATATTTAGTATAGTTTTTATTTGCAAAAAATATTGTATATTTTTTTACACATTTTTTTCCACCAAATTTTAAACTTGTTTTAAGAGAAAAGAAAAATAGCAATAAAAGAAAATTATGCAGCAGCAGATGAGAGCAGTCTCAGATCAATTTGTTACAATAAAGCAACAATACCTGCTGTCTGCAGGAATTAGCCGGGCTTATATCTGACCCCTCCACTGCGATCGGAATGCATACAGCCGCGCAGCAACAAAAACAAGGACAAGGCCTGGCTTTTCCCTCCAGAGCAGCCCTGCGAGAAATCTTTGCCGACACAATGAGGCAGCAAGCACGCCTATTCTATGTACATCCGCACCATCAATCTTGCTCTTCTTCATTGTGATAGAACCTCTCTACTGGTGTTTAGGAGAAAAACCGAGGGCTCGTAAACATTCTGTCGCCGTTCCACGACCTGCATCTTAACTAGACAGCGGGCCCTGACCGTGGCCGTCTTCGTGACCGAGATGTCTACGCACCTTTACTTCCCTCTCACAGTCTAGTGGGCAGTGGGTAGTCAGATGCCCCCTGAACAGACACAGGTTGAGATTAGAGGGTCACGCTTAGCTGAGCGCAGACAATATTTGATAAGGGCTTTTATCTGTCGCGCTGCGACGAGGCTCTTGAATGAGGAGAGGTGAAACAGAGGAGCCGGCGAACAAAAACACTGCCACATTCTTTCCAACGCCCTCCTTAGACCTGTAAGACCCACAGCAGATCGACACTGATACCAGCCGCAGGAACTGAGAGGGAGGT